CCATGCCTTTAATCATGAATTCATATGTAACACTTCAGGAAATAGACTCATCGCAAGTCTTATTCCCATCACACCATATACTATTGAATATGCACTCACCTGGTCTCACTATTCAATCTCGATCTTTAATCTTTCCCCTGATCAATCTTACTTGTCAAATGTTCCAGAATTGCCTTACGCTCAGAATCTACATAAATGTACATTTTAAGGCAATTATTAGATATCTACACCTTGTAGTTGGATACTATCAACTTAAACGAACTTATTAAACCCATATTTTTAATTTTCCTTTAGGGGGTATCGATTCCCTACTGGGGGTATTGATACCCTCATGACATTCTGGAATTCTGTCATTTGAGAGGGTATCGGTACCCCTTTGAATGGGTACCGATTCCCCCTAACCCAGAAATCATTTTCAGCATGAAAATTACTTCATTTCATCTCAAACACTTCATAAATCATCCCCTTTCTTATTCTTAACTTACATATACATGCTTAAACTCATTACTACTCATTCAATACATCTTTAACTTCAAAATCTAATTCTCTACATAGAATTCAAGAATCACACTAATTTTTCTTCTTGTTCTAAATTCAATTCCATCACTTCATATATCTTAATTCAACCATTGACAAGTCAAATTTATCTTCCAATTTGAGTAAAGAACTCTATTCCATAATTTCATTCAAAAACTCTTAATCTTTAATCCCTCCTAATTCCACCATCCTTTGTTTTTAAGATGATTTAAGCTTTCCTTAAGCTTAATTATCATCCAATAATCATAACCAAACCTTTAGTTGAACAAATAATCAACTAATGAAGAAACTTACCTTTGCTTATGGCTTCACGGTGGAAAAGAAGAGAATGAAGAAGAGAAGTCTGGAACTCTCTCATATTTCCCACGTTTATAATACTCAAAAAGGAAGATAAAAATCTTTCCCATGAAAAGACCATTTTGCCCCTTTAGTTCATCCATCTTTGCTACTTAATCCAATATTAAAATTCTTTACTTAAATCCCAAGACTTTTAAATTTCATTTCTAAATTGAACACAAAACTTTCAAAATTTACAATTTAGTCACTGACCCTGATTTGGGATGTTACAAGAAGAGTCAGCTTGGCTTGTAACAAATTTAACTCTTCATAAGAACACACTTAGCGGCGATCCACTTAGGAAAATTGAAATCGAGTTTAATTATCATTGAGACACCATAATCTAAGTACGGGCTTTTCCAGCACTTAAAGTAGTATTGGTGTTCACATCGATAGTCCTTGTTAATCCAAATAATGATTAAATTTCAAGTATTGACTTTGGAAAATTAGTTCACCGAAGAGAATAGTAAGTTACAAGGGATGAGCCTTGTAGATTGTAACCGGCTAGAATTCCGAAATAAAATCTATTTCAGTGATTGAAACAAATTGAGGCAAAAGTTAAATTGGAGGCTCTTATCATAATTATTTTCAATCATATTTTTCTTATTTTTACTTATTTTAATATATTTAAAAAATTGCTAAACCTCATTTATTTTCCTTTTGTAGATTTTTTTGGATCAAGATCAATTCAAACTAACATTGAAAATTTCAAAGTCCTTGCGAATCAACCATTTTCTTCTCTATACTACATTTTTAACTTATTTATTTGAGAAAAATGCTAAATTTATTTGACAATTACGATGCTTGTCAAGGTTAAAAAACATAACCAAAGAAACTCGTACAAAAGATATATACAAACAGATCTGACCGCATTGATAAACAAACCAAAAAAAAGGATAAAGCTATTGAAAAATCATCGATAAACCGTAAATAAAAATTGAATGACGTGATAATATTATCCACAAACACAAATCACATATCCAAATTCAATATGAGGGTTTAAAGTAGCGAATATCAACATTATAACAAATAAGCGTTATCTTAATCAGTCGTGGTAAAGTCAAATCTAACCCTGAAAAAATAAACGAAAATATACCATAAAGACGAAGAAAAACGTGCTATAAAGGTATAAGAAATCGTGTTATGAAGATATAATTATTAAAAAAAACATAGATACAATATAATAAAGAAAAGAAAAAAATAATAAATATCAATTATCGACGACTAATAGAAGACTGGTATCATAAAAAATCTAATAATAAATAAGAAAAATAGAGCAAACCTTATCATTAGATATTAATTTAGATTGAACGAACTTTTATATTATAATTAATTTAATTAAAAATTAATAATAAAACTGAATATTCTCCCCTATGCTTTTGATTGTAGCAGGCGCTAATATTAATATTTTAGAATTACGTGTCACGTTTCCTTTTTCTGAGGATAAGCATACCACAATACGCGTAAGGGTAGACGTTTAAAAACGGTTAAAAAATGACTTAATCTGTTAAATAAGTAATTGATTAAAATTTAGATCGATTATGTTATGTCATTTAATCAAAAATATTATTAAGTACAATAATATATTAGGTAGCGCTTATATAATGTAATAGGTAGCGTTTATATTGACCTATTTTCTAACTAAACAAATATATTTAAACCGGTAACATTACAAATTTACTTATTATATTATAATTATCAGTTTTGATGTTTTTGGGATTGATACAATTTTAAATGTATCGACACTTTATGCGTGCACCTCGTTGTGCTTTCATTTTGAGAAAAAAGTATCGACACATATTTAAAGAGTGTCAATACATAATGTAAACGTATTTACTAATTAACCAGTATATTTTTACCGGTTAGATTGTAAATTTACGAGTTTCTGAGTTTTTGTTCTTTGAGAAACTGATAACATGTTGGGTTTCTCAATATTATTCTTTTTTTATTGTAAAGTTTTTGTTATTTTCTTACTGAGTTTTGCTTAAAATATTTAACTTTTTGTATTAAAAAATAAAAATTCTGAAATAAAAATGATAACACAAACACACTTTTTTACTATCGATTTTGTCATTTCGAGACTGATTTTGTCATATTTTTTTTCTGTTATATTGTTATGGATCGATACATTTTTATAAAGTATCAACACTTTATTGACGCTATAACTTCTTTTCTTTTAAATTCCAAAAGTGTCGATACTTATAATAAAGTATCGACACTTTCAACATATCTGGTAGCTCTTTATCGATTTTGTCATATTTTTACCTGTTATATTGTTATGGATCGATACATTTTTATAAAGCATCGACACTTTATTAGCGCTATAACTTCTTCTCTTTTAAATTTCAAAAGTGTCGATACTTATAATAAAGTATCGACACTATCAACATATCCGGTAGCGCTTTACCTGTTTTGTCATTTATAGACCGATTTTGTCATTTTTTACATGTTATATTGTTATGGATCGATACATTTTTATAAAATATCAACACTTTCAATATATCAGATAGCGCTTTACCTGTTTTGTCATTTATAGATCGATTTTGTCATTTTTTTACCTGTTATATTGTTATAGATAGATACATTTTTATAAAGTATCATCATTTTCAATATATCCGGTAGCGCTTTACCTGTTTTGTCATTTATAGACCGATTTTATCATTTTTTTACCTGTTATATTGTTATAGATCGATATATTTTTATAAAGTATCGACACTTTCAATATATCTGGTAGCGCTTTACTTGCTTTGTCATTTATAGACCGGTTTTGTTATTTTTTTACATGTTATATTGTTATGGATCAATATATTTTTATAAAGTATCGACACAAACCGATAAACTAAATTTGTCGGTTGCCAAATTTTTTAATATTTCTTCATGATTTCTACCTATTACATTATTATTACTCGATATTTCTGATAACGCTAAACCAAATTTATCAAATATCTTTTAATATATCTGGTAACATCGTATATTAATCGTATATAAGTCTGCCTTTCCTGAGACAAACCCAAAGGGTAGGACCACCTCACCGCCCTCAGCTTACCAAGTTTTTTACGCAGCCCGCGTGATGTGGGTCTCGTCCCCACCATATAATGGTAGCCGCTTTATACGTTTGTCTTTATATTTTCTTGTCAAATTATAATAGAATTCTAACAAAACTCTTCTTCTGTTTTCCTTTTTTAATATAGCCTCCTGTTACGGCGGAAATGCTGTTACCAACCTATTGTAAAACAAATCTGGTCGAATACTCGCCGTCCTTCAAGATCAAAACCGACATAAATCAGGTACCGGATCCCATTTCCACCCTCCATAACTGCTAGATTTAGTCTCGTTTAACCGACTGAGAAATCGAACTAGCCTTGTTTATCTATAAATTTAATCCGGTAAGAGTCCGTGTCTTTCAAAGCCATTTCCGACGTAATCAGCTGCCGGATCTGGCCTTTTAAGACCTGATAACGGCGAGATCTACTCTCATTCAACCGTTGAAGCATTCATTGACTTAAAGCCAACTGAAAAGTGAAAATTAAAAAAGAAAAAAAGGAAAAGGATTCATCTCGGCCAAAGATTACAATTTATTAAGAAACGACTCTTTCACTGCTTATAATTTTTGTTTTAGGGGAAAAATGAAGAATTTTGGGTTCTTGTGGTTGCTGCAGTTAGAACTTTGATACGCTGAAGAGTGGAGGAGAAGATAAGATGAAGAATCCAAAGAGTAATGGGTAAGCAACAACAGTAAGTTAGATTTTTTTTTTCAATATTTTTTTTTATAAAAAAAGGATAATAATCGTATTAGATTTATATTATTTTCATATATTAATTGTTTTTATGATGTATAATTTTATGAAACAACGTGATCTTTACTTTCAAAAATATTTTGTAAAAAAGTAAACGGCAAGAAATGGAATCACAGAGTTTGATAAATATAAAAAATATATAAAAAACATAGCTACCTTTTAATAATCAAATCCACTGTGAGGTGGGCCAATAGAAATAAGAGTGTGTGGATCGTCTTTAGATAGGCGCGATGACTTGCGATTATAACGCGCAAAACGCAAGAAAACGTTCGATCTCCCCTATAATCGAAAGTTGGGTTTATAAATAAACGGGAGGAAATGGGTGATCAGCTTCACAACCAGCAACATCAACTGATCTTACGATGAATACCTTCAGCCGACAAAAGTTTCGCCTTGCCTTTCCTTTTAGTAAACACCATTGTCGCATTTCCCTCAACCGGGTATCTCAACCTCCACCTCTTCTTTTTATATGTCTCTCTCACTGTTAATTTTTATTTTTATCATCAGTAATTTTTACTGATGTAATTATTCGAATATCGAATAGCGGTATATATCTGTTACGATATAATATCAAGATTGTTAATATATATAGTATCCATACCATCGATACGAGCCTTCGACATGAGTTGAAAAATTGAAATGAACATATATATTTTTAACATGGAATTTTACTTAGGCAGAGAGGGAAGTCGAGAACCCTTCGCCGGCGTATGAAGTGGCTGCGATCGGAGATGGAAGAAATAAGTCAGGAACAAGGAAAGATCAAAGAAGGGCAAAGACAAGTGAGAGAAAAATTTGAAGCCGTGGAAATGGAATGCGAGCAGCTTCGAGGGGAGACTAACGTCATAATGCAGCAGAGCATGAGCACCCAGCTCCGCCTTACTTTCATGTTCCAAATTTTAAAAGCCAGAGAAAACCAAGACTTCAGCCAAGCCGCTCAACTCACTGCCGCTCTCCGGTTGGTCTCTATATATTTATTATTATCTGTTATGACTTGGTGAAATTTGTGTTCCCTTTGCTGACATTATTTGCTCTGTTTCACAGCGAGATAGCGAGAGAGAATCAGTAGAAAGCATGAAGCAGTAAGAAATATCTGAATAAAAGGCAAAGGGTGGTGAAGAGGAGTAGCTCTTTCTATCATGTTAACTGATAATTAATCATTTTATGTACGTCGTTCACGTCAATGTGGTCAATGTTATTCTTCTAATTCTGGTTTTAGCCTTTCGTGTATGAGTTTGAATTCTATGTATGTGGTGTACGAGTGATTTTCCAATAAGTTGTATTGTATGATATCCTATTCTGTTCGTCGTTTGTTACTTCTAGGATTAGGTTCTAACGTGACTAGAAGTTATACTAATGATGTAACTCATGTAAATCCCGATAATTTGTTTGAATTTGAAAGAAATCACGTAAATAATTTATATAGATTATTTAATATAATGATGAAGAATAATTTAAAATATTTAAAATATGTCATATTTTCTCATAGATTATCGTTTAATTCATATAGAATTATATTTTACAAGTATATATAAAAAATTAAAGTAAAATAGATTGAATTCAGGGTGTTATCCTCTTCGAGCAATAATATATATAGAATGTATGTGTATTGTCAATGACTAAGAAATGTTTTCTCTCAAACGATTTCACTCTCAAGTTTTCTTCCCTTTTAGGATGTCATCTTTTCTCTTCGTTGATTTGTTTTTTTTTTTCTACTTCCGAGGTGCCCTCTGACTTGCTCAAGGGTTTTTTCTCCTCTGGCGTTTGGTTCGTTGGAATGTTTCTGAGGGAATTAAAATCTGTGAAGGAATTGGAATCCAATTCCATATTCTGTTTGGTTGGCAGAAATTAAATTGGAATTCAATTCCATATTTTGTTTGGTTCGCAGACATGTCAGATGAATTTGATTTCAGTAATGTAAAATGACAAGATTGTCCTTCTTGTTTTTTTGCTTAATTTTAGTTTGTTTAATAAATTACATGTAGCAATATATTATAAAAATTTTTAAAAAATAAATTTTAATTTTATTGATTGATTGATTGATTGATTGATTGATTATTAATTTCAATAAATTATAAAAATTATGCTAATAAACATCATAAGTTAAAATCATCCCAATTAGGGATGACCATGGGTTGGGTTGGGTTTTTGGTCCACCCGACCCGACCCAACCCGAGAACAAGGGAACTTCCATCCGAGACCCGACTTGACCCGACCAAAATAAAGTTTCACCCGACCCGACCCGACCCGAATATATGAATTAGAAACCCGACCAGGCCCGAAATTAATAAAAAAATATTTTTATTCAATAAAAACATTGACTTAATTGAAATATATATATATAGAGAGGTATTATTATAATTATTCTTAAATATATAAGGTAAAATTATATATTTTTTGGGTCGGGTCGAGCCGGGTATTTTTCACCCTAAACCCGAACCCGACCCGAATATCACACTTAAAAAAAATAGACCCGACCCAACCAAAATAAAGTTTCATCGAACTGACCCGAATAAATGAATTAGAAATCTGACCCGACCCGACCCGAAATAATAAAAAAATTATTTTTATTCAATAAAAGCAGTGACTTAATTGAAAAAATTATATATATAGGGGTATTATTGTAATTATTCCTAAATATATAAGTTAAAATTATATATATTTTCGGGTCGGGTATTTTTCACCCTAAACCCGAACTCGACCCGACCATAATATCACACTTAAAAAAACCGACCTGACCCGACCAAAATAAAGTTTCACCCGACCCGACCCGAAATAATAAAAAAATATTTTTATTCAATATATGAATAAGTTACCAAAAGATTGACGAGAGTAGTATGGTCAAATTTCAATTCCCTCCAACAAGGGAATTGAATTCCATCATAGAATGAAATTCATTTTCCCTCATTTGATGGAAAGTTGAAGCCATAAGGGATTCCAATTCCCTTGGAGAACTTGAACCAAACATGGGAAAATGGTGGAATTGGATTTCAATTCCCCTAATTCCAAGGGATTCATGCGAACCAAACGCCACCTTAGTGTTGGTTGCATCATTTCGGATGTTTGTTTGCGATGAAGGAAAGGATTCTCCTTCCTTGGACAAGGATTTGGAGGAATTGAATATGGATATTAGGACCTCCAATTTTCTTTTTATTTCTTTGGATTGTTCATTATCTTATGGTTTCCTTTGATTTGCAGGGTCTCGACATTTTTGATTCAGTTCAGCGTTAAAGTCTTCTCACGACAAATCAAGCTACGTCTGTGGGATCTTGGTGGTTTCTCTGTTACGGGACACTTCAACCTCCTTTTTGATGTTCTAGTCTCTCGTCATTATCTTCATCAACCATGATGTCTTATTAGAATCAAGACTGCATTCTTCTGAATCAAGGAAGCCTTCTCTGATGGAGCTCTTTCAACTTCAAGGCCCTTTAACAAATCAACGGCAACTCTCTGCTTCTTCGACTGCTTGTCAATTGTTGCTTTTCCTTTTTCTGTTATTTTTTTCGTTCTTCTTATTTTGCTTCTCCCTACTTGTTTCTTTTGAATTCCTATTAATCAACTTAATATCAGTGTTTGGACCTCAGCAAAACTCAATCTCATAGATTTATGTTATGCTTTATATGCATTTTGTTTGCTTTTAAAATAAATGCATTTTATGTTGATAAAAAAACATAGATCCATAACTAAAATGGTTAATATATGATATATAATTATAATCGCCATAAATAAATCAAATGGTGTCATATCATTCAAAATAAAATTAAGAGATTTTTTTATTATTTTGTATCATGTATGAAATTATCTACAATGAGTATATTAAATAGAAATCTATAAATGATAGGTTAATATTTGATGTACTAATTATACATCACTAATGAATCAAATTACATGTCGTAGTTAAAATTTAAGCAACTTTAATTTTTATTTTTTTAATAATGTGTCATCATTTGATACATTAACATAATTTAAAATTATAAATCTTATTGCATCAAATATAAATTCATAATCTTTTATCAAAAAAATATAAATTCATAATTGAAAGAACTAATATTTGGTGCACTGATTATGTAATTCTATATACCATCCATAATTCAAAATATCTTGCATCATTAGAGAGAGAGAGAGAGAGAGAGAAATAAGCGAATTTAGTTTTAAATTTTTTTATTGTAAAGTTAGTTTTAATTTTTTAAACGATGTATTATCATTTAATTTACTAATAATATACTAAAAATATTGTCAATATATTAGTACATCATACGATTAATAAATATTATAATACACTATAAATGCATCAAATTATAAACTCGTTTCATTTTCAATTTTTCGACATGATTAGATTATGAAATACAACATTATTTTTGGTAGTAAAGTTAGTAAAATATAAGACTACTTAGCACATTATTATGTATGTAAATGTTACGTTGTCTCATTTGGTTCATTTAGTAAGAATACAAGATTTTTTATATTTAATTGATGGAGTCTAAGATAAATTTAAAGCATATTTTTTATTAAATCATTGTTGTAATAGATATTGTTTTAAAGATAATTCATAGAGTTTTTTCGTTTAATTTCATCTAAATTAAAAGATATTGAAGAATTCATTAAATATTTTCAATGATAAAATATTGTTTTCCCTAAAATATTCGTATTTGAATAAGTACAACTGCTTCCAATAGTCTTTTTCAATCCATCTTTGATTTAACAATGTAAGTGTATTTCACTAACATTAGAAGATATCAAAATAATGTTCACTTTTAGATGCTCCTATGGTTATCATAGGTTTTGGATCGTCTCTTTGATGGAGTTCACATTTCAAGAGGTAAATTGATGAGGACTGATCCGATTGGTCAACGTTGAATATTACGGGTGTTTTGTCAACATGAAGGATTGAACTTGATCGAAACTAAAAGTTCGATCTTTTAATGGTGTTGCCTTATTAGTTGATTGATGATCGAGATGTTGTTGTAACTGTCGACAGTCGTTTTCCTCTGAGTGTCGTTTCCATAATATATAATATATTATTATTATTATTATTATTATTATTATTAAATTATTACAAGATCCAAAGGCCCAGTTACGAAGCAAGGTTCGGAGGCCTATTTATAACTAAACCCAATCCATAACTCGGTTCAGGCCCAACAACCCGGTTCAGGCCCAATAACCCAGCAGGCCCGAGAAGGCCCAAATCAGCTAGGGTTTCATCTCAGTTTCTCTAGCGCCGCCAGCAGCTCTCAGTCATTCGATCCAGACAAAGATCAACGGTCTACAATCATCCAGCAGAAACCCTAGGGTTTCATTACACCCTAAGGCCTATTCCGGCCGCCACCTTCAGGTGCTCCAACCGATCACTGCCACATCTCACCAGAACTCACCAGAAGACTCCAAAAGAGGAAGGAAGACCGCACAACACATCGACCTAGGGTGAGTCACCATCGTAGTTCCGGTGACTCACCGAAAGGCCATCATTGCAGTCGAGTTTCCGAGGGGCTATATAAACCCATTACCTGCAAGGAAAAAAAACAGGCATCAAGCATCCATATGAAAAAAGAGACCGAGAGCAACAAAATAAAACAAAAACAAAAGAGAGGAACCACAGCAACCAACGAGCATCAGAGACATCGGAGAAGCAAAACGAAGGATAGAAGGCTTGCCACGGTTGTTGGAGCTCCCATGCTTCACCGGAGAAGACAAAACATCGAAGGTAAACTATTAGATCTACGAAGTTTGGTTGGGTTTTAGGAAAAGGGGAGGTCGGATCTAGGTTTAAGGTAAACGAGGCTTTGATTTGGGTAAGTTTGTGAAATTTCTGCCACCGTGGGTGGTGGTCGGTAGTGATGTCAGCGACGACACATGGTGGCATGCCGGAGACCGGATTCCCTCCGGTGAGGGAATTCTAGAGAGGGACGAGAGCTTCTCTCTCTAAGAGGGAAGCCAAAGAGAGAAAATGGGAAACATGGCACTTAAAGGGCCATTTAAGGCCTATTTATACCTTCTCCGAACGGCGTCGTTTTGGGGAAGGGTGTTTGTGTAATTTATGTAATGGGTAAATTACACCCGTGGTCCCTCTGGCTTTGCAAACCTTCAATTTTGGTTACCGAATCAAGTTTTTACGCATTTTAATTTGGTTATCGCATTTTATTTATTTTTATTTTAATCCATGCCTGTATATTTATATATATATTTTGGGAAAAGTTTCATGTTTAGTCCCTTATATTTTAATAGTTTATATTTTAATCCCTATTAATAATAAAAGCTAAATTACATTAATAGTACCTATATTTCATAATATTTCGAATTAAGATTATTAATTTAGATATTTTATAACTTATCCCCTAAGCTTTAATATATTAATATTTTAAATAAATATAGAATTATTTACATTTATAATAAATAATATATTAAGTAGTATTTTTTATTATTTGTATGATTTAAATGAAATTAAGATACAAATTTATAAATTATATTGCAAAGACCATTAATTAATAAACAAAGGTATCAATTTTGGGCGTTGTGTGGGTGTTAATCATTCCCTACACGCAACCGACTCTCGAACTCATTCTCTAATAAGCAGACCCTTGTTGTGTTATTTTAATATTATTATTAGGAATTTTATTAAAATATCATAACATTTTAGTACCCAATCACACCTTAATAAATGATTGGTGACGACTTTACAAATTAATGTTTTATCTTATGTAAGAAGATAAACACTTGTATTTTCTCGATACAATTACACTTATATGTGTACACGTTTGTTTTTTGTCGCCGGACAAATAAACGTCTCGACAGTAACCTATATTTTATGAGGATGTTCGGATTTTCACTATGCGAGCGATTGTGGCAGCCTGCTTAAATGTAGATTGTGTTCTGATAAGTGCAGACTCTTTCAAAAATAAACTTGTAAAGCGTTTTATTTCCATCTTTAATTTTGATTATATTATCATGTTTCTTTCTATTGCGTGCTTTTGTCTTTGATTTTGACAATATTATAGATTTTTTTTCAGTCTTTTAATATTTAATGTAGACTTTTGTTAAAAGAAAAATAAATCCCAAACTATCATCTTTCTGATGTCACTAAACCAAATAAATAGTCATAAGGAAAATGAAGATGAAATTACCAATGACCTGCTACATAGTTTGACTTTTGTAGAATTTCATTCTTTAAGAAAAATCATTAAATATGACTGGATTCCATGGTTTTCAAAATTGGATCGGTCAACGAATCGGTCGTGCTATCAGTTTATTGATTCAATCGGTTGAACCAGTTAGATCGGTCGGAAGAATCGGACGACGTCATAATTAATTAATTATTTAAAAATTAAATAAAAATACCAAAAATATTTAATAAAAAATAGTTTTTTATATTACAAGTCATATTCAAAGCAAGTCATAACATATATAAGTTAAAAACCATAAAATCAAGTGAAACAAAATGATTCAAATCAACTACAACATAAAATTTAAGGTAAAACATATTAAATAATAAATATAATTATATAACTATAATAAAAAATAAATTTGGGGTTAAAAATCATAACAAACGATGTCGTTTGGTTTAATTTTTTTTTTAAAAAAATCTCACATGACTAAAAAACATAGAAGAGCATCACAAAAGTCTAAAGAGTAAAAATATAAAAACAAAACAATCCCACATGACTAAGAAACATAGAAGAGCATCCCAACTGACTTCTATAAATAATAGAGGTAATTTGACATTCAAAATCATGGAGCCTTTTGGTGAGCACATAGTGAACTATTCTTTAGCTTCAATCGAGCTCAAATTTCAGGCTTCAATCGAGTTTCTAATTTTTTTTTGAGTTCGAGCCTTTTTGAGTTCAAGTTTTAATATTATATTTCGAGTTCGAGTTGAACTCGATAATTTTTAGCTCGTGAGTTTTTGAGTCGAGTTGAGCTTACTTTTAAAGTTTTCGAGTTCGAGCCGAGCTCAGCAATACTCGAGTTCTACTCGGCTCGTTTAACAAACGACGTCGTTTGATTTAATTTTTTTTAGAAAAAAAAACAGAATACCGATTTTCAACCGGTTCACGGTCCGGTCCGATTCAAACGGTTCACAGCCGGTTTAACGAAATGAACCGGACTAGAGAGCGGTTCCTGAAAATTTCTCAATCTTTTCCGTTATACAGTCTTTTAATATTTTAATTATATTTTTCAAACAGCTGCTTCATATATCAAAACGGTCACACAGATTCTAGGATTATTTACGAGGTTTCTACTCGTGAATAATGCACTTAAATATTTATATATTGAAAAGTTCAGTAAAAAAACATCGAAAGTAGATCGCTAGAAGGTGCAAATATTAAACAGAAATCGCTCGACCAATCCATTTAATCGTGGATTTTTTTTCTTTCTCTTTTCAACTTTTTCTCCTTTTTCTTGTAAACATGTTTAAAGAAAACTCAAATTCCATTACTTGCTGTAAGAACCAAGAATTTTAATAGCAATATTAAATCATACCCATAGTAATTGTCCTAAGATACTAAATGGTTAGTAACATGTTTGCTTAATTATGAGTTTTATTAATTTAGTTTATGAAAATTTACAAATTAACCTATATATATTGTTAAATCTGGGATAAATCTAAAAAATATATGTTCAAATATTTTTAACCATTCGACTATGAACACTTATATCCCTAACATATGCAGTCCTTGAACCCTAAACTTTCAAGATAACAATAAATCTCATAATCATCAAAATCATTTGGTACGTGCCCCTTTATATATATATATTAGGTACGTTTTGAGGTTTAAATTTAAACTTTACAATTGCCTCTCTCAGTAATATTTTTATCAATATTTATATTTGAATTCTATCTTTGATGTATCTTATCATTCTGTCAAAAATTTGTGAACAATAATTTTTTATATTAATTTATCCGTTGAATCACTATAATACTTAAATTGATCTATAAAAGACAAAATAAAAGTAGCTAGTAATTAAAAAACACATTAGTATTAGATTTAATACAACCAGTTTAGTTGATTAGAATTAATGAAAAATAAATTAGACGTTCCTTAGGCACCAAGGTGGGTATAAATATATAAGTATCCATGGGGGGAAGCACTGCACTAGAAAAGAAGTTGAAACAACACCAATCTCTGAGTTGAAACAATAATTAAGGATGCGTTCCAACATATCAGAAGCAGAGGCAGGGCGTCAGCATTTGGTATCTGTTTTAATTCTTGTCTTTTTTGAAAGCTCCTTATCCACTCTTAATATTCTTAAATCGGTATCTTTTATCAAGAGAATTTTAATCATAAGCAAAAGAAAATCATTATGGTTACTCGAAAGTAGGAGTATCCGGATATGAACACTCTAATCCCTAATTACATCTTTAAGTCTTATTTAAAGGCAGATTTGAGAAGTTTTTTACAATCTATCTGTAGCATAAGAAAAGAAGGACGAGGAACATAGATTCTTGTATGAAAAGGCTAAGAGTGGGGATGGAAGAAGTGGATGAGGAGCAAAACAATATGAAAGAGATGGAAGGGCATTTAGCAGAAAAATTGGAAGCCATGGAGGTGGAATGCCAGCAACTTCGGCAGGAGACTATCCTCGTCACACAACAAACTGTGAATACCCAAATCCGCCTTTCTCTTATGCTCCAAATTCTCAAAGCCAGAGAGAACAGTGACTTTTCCCGGGCTTCGCACATGGCTTCTGCTCTCCGGTCCGTGTCTATTCTCAATTTCTACTTTTAAGCCACTAATACGAACAAGAGGGAAGGCCGAGGCCCCGGCCTATACCCCTTTCGCTATTATCGTTGTTTGTATAATAATCATCTTACATGATGGTTTAAATTCTAAATCTTTAATATCTGTAACTCTTTCATCTTTATTATTAGACAACTTTTCTTTAAAGCTAAGTGTGCCTTTATGCTCTTACTTCCAATGCTAATGTTAAATTCCCCTTTTGCTACAGTGAATCGATAGAAAAAGACAAGTAGCAAATGAAAGGAAGCTTTGATGGGCAACCGGTGAAGCAACTTATTCAAAGTTAGTACATGACGGAGAATGCACCATTTTTCTATACTAAATTACAATTTTATTTCTATTTAAAAGGGGAAAACTATAAACCAATCGTTGAGCCTAATAGATTTCTCTTGAATGGCTCTTCTTCTTTGTTTGGAGTGATACCTGTCTCTTGTGTGGAGTTTTTCTTACTTTATTCTCTCTTTCTAAATTACTACGTTTTTTTTTTGGATTTTTGTGTATTTATAAACCCTCAAGTTAACATAATTTAATTAATTTTATATATATCGATTTGTTTCCGGAAATAGAAGATGGTGAATTAGGTCATAAATTACTTTTTAACCATTTCAATTAGATTTTATATTAATGAAGCAAATTTTTAAGATAAAGTTTGTAATAATATTAACGAATGATTTAGTTTACTAATAATAAAAATCAAATGAAATAATATAGTTTAACTAAAAATATATAATTTATATAAAACTTAATATTAAAATGAATAATCTAAATTATAGAGTATCCAATTCTATGATATAAATAGTTTAACTATAATTTATAATAATAATAATAACTTTTGGTTGCTGCAAATGTGGAAAAACATTAAGAAATATATTTACGAAGAAAAATTGATTGCAATGTTACATCTTTTTGGACCGTTAATGGCCGACATTAACAATAACATTGCCATTTAAAAGGTGAAAAATCCTATATCTTTCTTTCATCAGAAACAAAACTAAGGAAGCTATAGAGGGCGGCAGCTATCATCTTCACCATCTTGGCCAGCTCCTAAGATATTGAACGTTATATCAAGCTGAATTCTATTGGAAGTCGACTGCTCCACAATAAATTGAGTTTCGAAGATGAGTTCTTCGAGTTGCCATTTTCCTTTAATTCTTTGCTCCTCTTTTATGCATCTTTGATCCTCCAGTATCTTTCCTATATCTGCTCTTTTTACTCGTGTGACCTTCACTTTAAAACTCTTCATTTTTGGTTTCAATACCTTCTTCTTCTCCTTGATCATGCCCCGGCACACCATTGTTATCGACTCAAGTTTGAAGAATCAAAAACTACGATTGAAATATAAACTGATCTTATATCAAAATTGCGCCTGAGGAAACAAAAACCAAATTGCAGAGGGACAGAGGCAAATAGAAATTGGAAGAGCCCGAGCCTCCCAAACTTCTAATGTCCCTAAGCTTTTTGGTTCCCCTCAATATCCAATCCCAACTCTATCACTGATGAAGAAAAACTATGGAGAAAATGAGGGAGAAGCATCATTTTTATAATGATGATAGAGGGTTGCGAGTCTAAAGGATCTTATGATTTTTCAACTGAAATCGAGCGATCTTTTAGGGCTTATTTTGGTGTCATATGATTTCAATATTGATTTTCTTTAATTAGCTTGTTCACGTTGATATGATTAGACTTTTTCTATAATATGACCTTAAATCATGCAAGTCAGAATATATTTATATACAATGAATTTGAGTTTATGTAAGTTTGTTTATATATTTTTAATATTTTTATGTATTTTTATTAGATTAACAGATATAATATTTTAGCAAAGTATGTTTAATTTTTATATAATATAATATAAAAAGTAAATAAATATAGGGTAAATCGTATAAATGATCAATGAAGTACTAGTAAGTTTATGTTTTCAGCACTGGAGTTTCAAAAGTAACGAAAATATGACTAACGTTATCATTTTGTAACAAATTGAACACTCAACCGCTAACAGTCACGGAAGTCTGATTTGGAACATTTGGTCGCTGAGTTGGAACTGTACCATCTTGACATCTTTTGACCAGCCACTTTAACTCCTATTTTAAAAAATATTTGCAATCCTAATTTTTTTGAAGAAGCAAAGATTGGATCCCTAAGACATGGCTGGTGTCAATGTTTCTAAGTATGCACATAGCACTGTACACAAAGATAAATACATGACCAGACCACTTCTACTCTTTATATGATAAACAACAAGAACAAAACCTAACAGGAATGAAAACAAAATTCAAAATACAAGATCCAATGGATATTGGCTTCCAATAAAAAATGCAAAGCTCCGAAGAACCTATGAAAGAGAAATACATGACCAGACCACTTCTACTCTTTATATGATCAAGTTCCCCAATTAACTTCCCCATTAACCTCTGCATGACAGAGGTTGAAGGGCCTTGATTAATAATGGAGGGTATTAAAACAAGGAGTTGAATCAAAATTTTTCAAGTTGAAAAGAAAAAAAAAACTAAAATATGCTTCTTTTCGAATGTGCACCATTTGATCTTAAAAGTTAACGTGGGAGTCAAATGGCTGGCTAAAGGGTGTCAATATGGCCAAATAATGTCAACTCAGTCGTCCAAATAGGTTACACCACACTTTCGTGACTATAATAACGATTGTTAACGATTCGATGACCAATTTATTACAAAACGATAATATTAGTGATCATTTTGTTATTGTTGAAACATCAGTGTTGAATATAGAAATATACTCATATTTCAATAACTATTTTATGTAATTTACCCATAAAAATAAAAAAAATAGTATATGTTGTGAACTTGAAAAAATAAAGAGTAAAGTACACAAATGGCTTCGACTATAAGGTGTTGTTTTGTTGAATACTTCAAATATTAGAATCAACAAAATGGTCCTTTCACTTTAGGCCATTGTTTTTGTTGAGTTTCCTAACTATTAAAAGTTACAAAATGGTCATTTGACTATTCATATGTTCTAAAGTCGTCATTTTTCATTAACAAAATTGATAGTTGTCAGAGCTGAACATTAACCAGCTGACTAAGATATGATAAAATCATTTTTTAATGATGTTTATTGGTACCGTCGTTGCTTTCAAACATTGGCTCGATGACATAATGTTTCAAACACCAACTCGACGAGATAATACAAACGAAGACCCGATCCACATATTACATCTCAAACGATTCTAAGACCATATATTATCACATCACAGTGAGCAGGTTAATATTCAACTACGTCCGTCAATTTTTTTAATGAAAAATGACAATTTAGAACATATGAATAGTCGGGTGGCTATTTTAAAACTTTTAATAGTATGATGACTCAATAAAGTAACATTCTAAAGTTGAGGGACTATTTTGTAACTTTTAATAGTCGGAGAGTTAAAAAATCAGTCCTATGCCCCTGTAGTCGAGAATCATCTATGTGCTTAACCTAAAAATAAATTAAACTCAAACTTTGAATATTGAAACTTAAATCAACTCAATATTTTAGCATATTATGTATAATTTAAATTGATTTAAATGTTCTTACATACTTTGAGATTCCAGTTTGCCGACATTGACATTCCCCCTGAAATTCGACATTAACAATAAAATAAAGAAACTATGATTTTCTTCTGTCAGAAATTGAAGTAAGGTAGCCACTGAAAGCGGCGGCTTTGTCGAAGTCTCCGTCTTGGCGAGCTCGTAAGATATTGAACATAATACTAAGACGAATACGATTAAAAGTGGATTGCTTCACAATCATTTGAGTTTCCAATCTTAGGTCATGGCATTGGCGTCTAACATCTCCAAACTTTTCTCCTATATCCCTTTGCTCCTCTCTTATACATTTTTGATCTTCCCTTATCTTTCCCATATCTGCTTTTATTCGTTGGACTCTCGTCTTCAAACTCTTCATTTTCGGCTTTGAAGATTTCTTCTCCTCCTTGATCATGCTCCGAGCCACCATTGTTATGGACTTGAGTTTGAAGAATCAAAGTTGAAACAGATTGAGATGTAAAGTTGGATTGCAATGAGTGAAATGCCATAACACTGGGTTTATATAACGAGTTCAATTATATCAAAAGCGCGCTGTGGAATTTGGAGGAAACAACTAGCGAACATGAAGAGAAACCGGGGGGAAAGGAGGAGAAATTATGAGTTTTAGAGCGAGGGCAGTCGGGCGTAAGGTTAAAGAATCGCATGGCGGATCGAACGATTTCGTTCATGTTTATTATGACTGAATCAGAGACTGCTGATTGGTTTAATCTTATTTTCAGTGGTCCCACACGAACAGTAATAAAATGTTTTTTTTACTCAACCGTTAAATAGTTAACGGCATTAAAATGAGTTGTTATATAGATGTAAAACAACATCGTTTTGGTGATATTTTTTAAAACGGCGTCGTTTTTAACACCGTTAACTATTTAACAACAGAGTGACCAAAATATGAGAAAGAATAAAGTTCGGTGACCAAAAAACTCAATGTATTAAGTTTAGTGATGAAATTGAAAAACTTTTAAAGTTAAAATAGGAGAGAGTAAAATTTTATGATGAAATTTGTAATTTTTCCATTTTTTAAAGACTTTAATCATTTGATAATTAATACTTAAACTTTCTTGCACATGTTATGCTCCAACATAAAATCTCTATAAATAACAACCATCATTTACTTAATCACATAGATTTTATCTCTAGAGACAAAAACCCTCCTACAAGAATTGGAAGTTGCTTGGTTTTTCAATCCTTCAAACAGGATTTTGAATCCTTCAATCTGTCGGGAGACAAGCATTGCAGCAACCTCCTCCTACAACAGCGACCGAATCACAGAAGAAGGATTCAAAAACCAAGCAACTTCCAAATCCTGTTGACGAGCTACCTTTGTCATGGCGTCCGCCACTTTGATCCTTTCACGATTAACATGTTATCAACTCTCCAATTCTGCTATAACAGAGCCAAGATATGCACCAAAATCGTGAGTTGGGCAGAACCATTATTGTACTGGTTAATCATCCTAATAGCGTCCAAACAATCATATTCCATAATCACTTGAGTAAAATCGAGTTCCCAAGCACACGAGAGGCCAAGCAGAATTTCCCAAAGTTCAGTTTCCACAACCGAACAAATGCCTATAAACTTAGAGAATCCACGAACCCAAATACCCTCAGAATTTTTTGTAGCACCACCTCATGAAGTGAAACCATTCTCTTTATTTCGAGCACAATCGGAGTTAATTTACCTAATTCTCCGGCGGAGGACTCCACCTCATAATCCTTGACGTCAAGACAGTTTGAACAGTTCTCTTTTCAGCTTCTGCAATAATTGCCCAGTAGGTTACCTCTTTCAGATACATGCAACGCTCAAGCAACGGACATGAGTCACCTGAAAACGAGTCAAAAAGAATGGAGTTGCGATGAAGCCAAAGATTTCACAAAGCTGCACTAAAAAGGATATCCCAATTCTGAACAACTCGAACAAACTCATTGGGTTTCGAAAGATCCATCACCATCCAAGCTTTCATATCCATAGAGAGAAACTCCTCAAGCCGATCCCTCTTGATCAAAACTAACCAGATCGATAAAGCTGTCGAACAACGCCTGATAATACGATCAATGTCTTCACTCGGATGGAAACAAACTGGACAGCTCCCATCCGAAGTGAAATGACGGCGCACCCTCTCCCAAGTTTATTATATTTTTTACTTAAAAAACATTTTCTTCCAAGTTTCCATTTAAAAAAAATTATTTTTATTATATTTCAGAAGTATACCCACCAACTTAAAGTTAAACTTTATTCCATTTTTTAATTGATTAATTCAATATCTAAACTTATAAAACCAAACTAATTAAAAAAAAAAACTCTTTTTTGTTGGCAAAATCAACGAGATAATGCGTTGAATTTTTTTTTTCACAAGAGCACTCCCATATAGGTCGCCAGGTGCTCCGGGCGACGTCCCTGTTAAATAAGGTAGGTGTAGGTCACCATGCACGCCCAGCGACCTACCAGGTCGCCATGCACGCCCAACGACCTAGGTAGGTCGCATGCAATCCATGTCGCCATGCAGTCCAGCTTGGCAAATGCCTGAACAATGTTGATGGTTTTGTTATCCATGCCGTCCATGCTTGGTTGTTGGTAATTTGCCTAGATATTGGTGCTTTATGGACCATGTGTAGGGTGGTAAATGTCAGGCGTTGGGTGAGTAATATAATACAATTATAATCATCATATATATTTTTTTAAATAGTTTAAATTTATTATAAGATAATATTTATTTAATTTTTTTATTAATAGATAACAAAACCACCAATATTCTTCAGACATTTGTCAAGCATGGATTGCATGGCGACATGGATTGCATGGCGACCTACCTAGGTCGTTGGGCGTGCATGGCGACCTGATAGGTCGCTGGGCGTGCATGGCGACCTACTTCATCTAATAGGGACGTCGTCCGGAGCACCTGGCGACCTATATGAGGACTGTAGAGATCATCACATATGAGTAATTAATCTGGCGAGGGCACTATCTCGTGAAAAAAAAATTCAACGCATTATCTCGTTGATTTTGTCCATTTTTGTTATATCTCTTCGATAAGTGGTTTTACTTCGGAATAAAACGAAAATATTTTTTTTTTTGAAAAAAGAAGATGGTGAACTTAGTCATAAATTACTTTTTGACAATTTCAACTAAATTTTATATTAATGAGGTGAAAAATTGTCAAGAGCTAACTTTTAAGATAAAATTTGTAACAATATTAATGAATGACTTAGTTTAATAATAAAAAATACAATTATATGGTTTAATTAAATTAAATTAAAATATGTTCCAAACTTGTCTTTTCTATTAAAAATTAGCGTCCGTTTGAGCTGGACGTTAATCTGTTAACTTGAATATGATAAAATCTTATCTCAAAATTGTTTGAACTATATTTTACATATTGACACTCCTTTTACATTATGTCGACAAGTCAGTGCATGGAACATTATATGGCAAGTCAGTGCTTGAAAGCAACAACGGTGTCAATAGACATCATTAAAATGTAATTTTATCATATCCCAATCAACAAGTTAACAACTCGTATGACCCAATTTTTTAACAAAAAGAAACAAGTTTGGAATGAATAGTTTAGTGAACATTTTTTAACTTTTAATAGTAGAGATACTTAATAAAATAGCATTCTATATTCAAATGACTATTTTGTAGCTTTTAATAATCGAAGTATTTAACAAAGTAACATCATATAGTCAGAGGGCATTTGGTACTTTACCCAAAATTACAAAACTTACTTTTGATTGCTGCAAATGTATAAAAACATTGAAAAATGCATTTACGAAGAAAAATTGATTTCGATCGACGATGGTCGACATTGATATTAACATTGACATTTAAAAGGGAAAAAAAACTATAGCTTTCTTTCATCAGAAACAAAACTAAGGAAGCAACCAAGGGAGACAACTATATCATCAACTGAGTTGGAAGCCGATTGCTTCACAATCAACTGAGTTCATCGTATTGACATTTAACATCTCACAACCTTTCTCCTATAAGCATTTTCCCCTTGCTTACGTATTTTTGATCTTCCATTACCTTTTTTATATCTGCTTGTTTAATTTGCGTAACCTTGACTTTAAAACTCTTCATTTTTGGTTTCAAACCCTTCTTCTTCTCCTTGATCATGCCTCTGGACACCATTGTTATCGACTCGAATTTGAAGAATCAAAATTGAAACAAACTGCGATTGAGATGTAAAATATCACACTGATTTTATACCAGAACCGCGCCTGGAATTTAGAGGAAAAGTGAAACAAAAATGTAAAGGGACAGAGCCAAATAGAAGATGGGAAGAGATCTACTCTCCCAAACTTCTTATGACCCTGAGCTTTTGATCCCTTATATTCAATCTCAATCTGGGAGAAAAGGAGGAAGAAACATCCTTTTATAGTGAGGCTAGTTGGCTATGTGATTAAAGAATGACATGTTTTTTCAGTTGAGATCGACCGATCTTTTAGGTTTTATTTTGGCGTTATATGACTAAATCAAAGAATATTGATTGCTGATTCACTTTAACATTAATTTTACTTAACGTTTTCATGATGATATAATTACACTATTTCTATAACATGACCTTAAATTATGTAAGTTAATTCTTATTTATATATAATTCATCAAAGTTTGTTTATATCTTTTTTTTAATAATCTGACATATATTTTATTAAATTTATGAATATAAAAAATTAATATTTTAGCATAGTATGTTTATTTTAATATAATATAAAATAAATGTTATAAACTTGTAAAAGAAAATTAAGCTCTTACTCAAAATATTAAAACTTGAATAAACTCATATTTTAGCATAATATGTATAATTAAATTGATTGCAATGTTATTACATATTTTGATATTCCAAATAGCCGAACTTCGACATTAACAATGAAATAAGGAAACCACTGAAGGCGGCAGCTTTATCGAAGTCGCCGTCTTGGCGAGCTCGTAAGATACTGAACATAATACTACGACGAATACGATTAAAAGTGGATTGCTTCACAATCATTTGAGTTTCCAATCTGAGGTCATGGCATTGGCGTCTAACATCTCCAAACTTTTCTCCTATACCCCTCTGCTCCTCTCTTATACATCTTTGATCTTCCCTTATCTTTCCCATATCTGCTTTTATTCGTTGGGCTCTCGTCTTCAAACTCTTTGTTTTCGGCTTTGAAGACTTATTCTCCTCCTTGATCATGCTCCGCGCCACCATTGTTATGGACTTGAGTTTGAAGAAACAAAGCTGAGATATAAAGTTGGATATATTGCAATGTGTGAAATGCCATGTGTTGCGGAAGACGGCTATCGGATAGAGTAAATCGCAACTGATAATTTGAGAAAATAAAAATGAAGATAAAAAGAGACACAAAATTTACGTGGAAAACCCCTAAATAATATAGGGTAAAAACCACGGGCAACGGTAGAAGAATTTCACTATGAGAAAATAGGAATTACAACCTCTCTCGATCTACCAAGAAAAAAACAATGATAATTTTCTCTTGATAAAAAGGAGAAAACAACTCTCAAGAAACTCTCTAAATTCTCTCTAGTATTGGAAGAGAGCTAGAATGCTTTGGGATGGTTTTGAAGCTAAATGAGTTAGGGTATTTATAGTTGAAACTTAAGGACTAATTTGTAAATACCCTAAATTACAATGATTAAATTTGGTAATTTACCCTTTACCAAAATTCAACAAAATCATCCACTTTTTGACAATTTCTATTAGGTGGATTTTGCTTTCAATTTTTGGTGCCTACCCTTTGAATTTTCAACAATCTCCCACTTGAAGATTTGATTGGAATAATCATATCTTCACACCATTCTTTCTACCTTGTACCTTCATGTTGCTTACGTCTCTGACATACCACACGAGGATCGACACCAAGTAAATTTATTAGCGTTGATCGCCTTTGTCATGAAATCTGCTATGTTGTCTTTGGTATGGATCTTCTGCATATCCACTGTTCCTTCTTCCACCTTTTCACGAATGAAGTGGTACTGAACTCGTATGTGTTTTATCCTTGAATGAAATGTTGGATTCCTTGCTAGATGAAAGGCGCTTTGACTGTCACAAAACAGAGAGACATACTCTTGATTGTGCCCAAGCTCCTCCAATAACATCTTCAACCAAATTGCTTCTTTACTGGCTTGTGTAGCTGCTACATATTCTGCTTCTATTGTGGATGTAGCCACAATTGACTGCAATTTTGAAATCCAGCTTACAGCTCCACCAGCAACTTTAAACACATATCCTGTAGTAGATTTGCTTTTATCCAAATCCCCTGCATAGTCAGAATCAACATACCCATTGATAAGTAAATTTGATCCTTCGTAACATAATGCAACATTTGAGATCCCTTTGATGTATCTCAGGATCCTCTTTACTGTATTCCAATGCTCTTTGCCTGGATTCGCCATGTACCGACTAACCACTCCCACTGCTTGTGCAATGTCTGGTCTTGTGCATATCATAGCGAACATTAAACTTCCCACTGCTGATGCATACGGTACTCGAGACATCTCCATCCTCTCTTCTTTATTGCTAGGACTCATACTGGAGGATAATTTGAAGTTAATAGAAAGAGGGGTAGAAATTGGCTTACAATCTTGCATGTTGAATCGTGACAAGATCTTCTTCAAGTATTTCTTTTGTGAAAGCCAAATCTTCCTATTACTTCTGTCTCGGTGAATTTGCATCCCTAGAATCTTGTTTGCTGATCCCAAGTCCTTCATTTCAAATTCCCTAGCCAGTTGTGCCTTCAATTCTTCAATATGATCTTTGTTGGGTCCTGCAACCAACATGTCATCCACATACAACAACAATATAACAAAATCGTTATCACCAGACCTCTTGAAATAAGCACAAGGGTCTGTAAGTCTGTTGTATCCAAGGCACATAATGAAGGAATCAAATCTCTTATACCAACACCTCGGCGCCTGCTTTAGACCGTACAGAGATTTGTTCAACCTGCAAACCAAGTTCTTCTTTTCGTCTTCTTCAAAACCTTCAGGCTGGAGCATATAAATCTCTTCTTCAAGATTTCCATGAAGAAAAGCTGTTTTAACATCTAGTTGCTCTAGATGTAAGTTCAATGTAGCACACATTGCCAAAACTACTCGAACTGTTGTTAGTAGAACCACAGGAGAAAATATTTCATTGAAATCAATACCTTCCTTTTGAGCATATCCTTTGACCACCAGTCTTGCACGATACCTCTCAACTTGATCGTCACCATTTCGCTTGATTTTGAAGACCCATTTGTTACCAATTGGCTTCCTTCCTTGTAGTAGTGGCACAAGGTCCCATGTATTATTTTTATGAAGGGCTTCGATTTCTTCTTGCATCGCCATCATCCACAGTGAAGCATCTGAGCTGTTTATTGCCTCCTGGTATATTAATGGCTCACCGTCCTCTGTTAAAAGGCAGTATGCAATATTACCTTCTATAACATAATCTGAGTGCCAATTGGGACGTCTTCTCACACGATCTGATTGACGAGTTGTTGGAGTTTCAGAACTCTCTGGTTCTTGTTCATCATGTGCTGGTTCTGCTTCAGAATAATCTCCTTGTTCAACCTCCTTTTCCACATGTATCTGTGTAGTCTCTGACTTTTCAGCGCTATCATCATCTTCTTTTCTTTGTAGTTTATCTTCTACAAAGATAACATCCCTGCTGATGATCACTTTGCGGGCAGTGGGATCCCACAAGCGATACCCCTTTACACCATCAGTATACCCTAAGAATTTGCATTTCCTGGATTTTGGATACAACTTTGAAATTTCTTGGGCTTTGTACATCACGTACACAATACTTCCAAATACATGGAGGTTTGAATAATCAACTGGTTTACCAGTCCACATCTCCATTGGTGTCTTCAGCTCTATTGCAGTTGATGGAGCTCGATTCACCAAATAACAGGCGGTATTGACTGCTTCTGCCCAGAATGATTTTTCTAGGCCTGCGTCCCTCAACATTACTCTTGTTCTTTCTAACAAGGTTCTGTTCATCCGCTCTGCCACTCCATTTTGTTGAGGAGTGTTTACCACTGTGAACTGTCTTTTGATGCCTTCTTTCTTGCAAAAGTCATCAAATTCTTCGCTTGTGTATTCTCCTCCATTATCTATTCTGAAACACTTGATCTTATTTCCAGAATCAAGTTCCACCCGCGCTTTGAAGTTTTTGAAAGTTGAAAACACGTCTGAATTCTTCTTAATAGGGTACACCCAACATCTCTTGGAGTAGTCATCAATAAATTATACAAAGTATTTTGCTCCGCCTAGGGATGTAACTGGTGCTTGCCATACGTCAAAGTGAACCAATTCTAGAACACTTTTGCCTCTAGAATTTGATGTGTTGAATTTCAATCAGTGCTGCTTACTTGTTATGCAATGCTCACACAAAGTAAGTGATACATTCGTTAAGCCTGGAAGTAGCTTTTGCTCCACAAGGACTTTCATTCCTTGTTCTGACATGTGTCCAAGTTTCTGATGCCATAGCATTGCAGAATCTAAACTACATGAGGCAACAGAAGCTTCTGCTTCTAGCAAAGTCTCTCCCTTCAGCATGTACAAGTTTGCTGCTATCTTTTCGCCTTTCAGCACCACAAGCGCTCCACGGAACACCTTCATGATTCCTTTCCGTGTTTCAATCTTGCTAGCATTATTATCCAACAATCCGTAGGATAATAAATTTTTCTTCAGGCCTTTCACGTGCCGCACATCTCGAACAACTTTAATTGTTCCATCATACATCTTCAATTTGATGGTTCCCACACCAATGATCTCTAAGGCATGATCATTGCAACTATACACAGATCCTCCTGAGACAGGTTCATAATGATGAAACCATTCTCTTCTTGAGGTCATGTGATATGTTGCTCCCGAATCAATGAGCCATATATCTGCAAATCGTTTTCTACCTTCCACGGTGGTTGACGCTTCACAGCATAGAGCATCTCCATCATCTGAAGTGTTTGCAGTATTGCTTTGTGGATTGAAGTTTTTATTTAGACTCCAACAATCCTTCTTCAAATGACCCTTCTTTCCACAGTTGTAACACTTTAAATTCTTCTTGCTCCTCGACTTCGATCTACCATGTTTGCGACTGCTGCTTTGGCCATGTTCTGTTGATCTCCCTCTTATCGTTGTCATCGTTGTCAACGCTTCTGGTTGTTGCAGATTTACTTGTCTGTCTTCCTTGTTCTTGCGTCGATTTTCTTCTTGTAGAACAGCAGCTGCAACATCATCAAATATTAGACTAGTGACATTACTGTTTGTCAAGTTGATGATGAGTTGATCATACGAATCCGGTAGACTTTGAAGTAGAAGTTCAGCAC